CACATTCATTGGATTCACACGTGATGCTTGAAAACGAAAATAATAAGTGAAATTCTATGTGACTTCATGAGAGTTGGAAATGTACAAATTATATGACACCCAACCCTACCATTCCATACACAGTGTAAACTACACCCCCAAAACAACCATTCACCGATGTATTCTATTTGACTTCTCAGGAGAAATTGAAATACACAAATTATATGACAACGAACTTAATTATAATTTCAGCTTCTAGTTCAGCACTGGTTAAATAAACTATCTCGTCTCTATGCCAACTTGAAGTTATTCATTGCTTACACCATTGACTTCAAAGTCTACGTTTCAATCCGAGGATTAATTGCATTTAATTGCATTGGTGTGCCAGTCTTTTATTTTTCTATTGTAATGTCAATTTCTTGCGATTACTCAGAACATGAAGCTGCAACCACAGACTGTCTATGTTCTGTAGCTAAATCCTGGTATAAGTACCGGTTAGGCAGGCTTGAACTATGTATTTGAAGCCAGGGTAAATCCAATCCAATAGATTTCTCATTGTTTGGTAACTATTTGCTGCAAATGCAACAAAAATCAATATAAAAATATTACCCACACAGCATTCTACAGGTTACTTGTTGTTTATATTGGTCACTTTAGGCTATTATTGGTTATGTTGATAACTTTGGTATACTATTGGTCACTTTGGTCTATTATTGTTTATATTGGCCACTTTTGGCTATTATTGATCACTTTTGTCTCCTATTGGTCTATTATAGGTTACACTTGGCCCAGTATTATCCGTATTGATCTAGGGTTTGTCACATTTAGTTTTAGACTCGCTGTATGTAACTATGCATAATATAAAATGTTTCACGCAGGATAAGCATTGTAGGCTCACTAGTTTGCCATTAAAACATTTTTATTTCTTTAAGAGGTAATTAAATCTTTGTTTTTCAGCTATTTACCTACATCTGTTTTAAGTAGAAATATGCATTATGATTGCAGGATATTAAAAATATTGTGTACAGCCAACACACAAGTAATTGTAGTGTTGCTGTCGATTATTGATTTATAAATAATGTTATTGGTTCTGCTGTAACCTTCCCAGAACATCCAAATGTTGCTGTGTCTGTAATTCATCATACATTTATTCTTCTAGGTTCACATATATAGACTGGAGTCAGACCATCATTGATCTTAGCAATGGGGATGGTTTACGAGATGTCTGTCCCTCTATTATTGATGGCTTTTGGGATGGATGTGTTGGCATGCATCATTCATACCTAGGGACACCAGAAAATGCATGATAGAACACATTTTTTTCAGTTGTCACTTTTTTTATGGAAACCTAAGATGCAAAACATTGATGATCACCTTTCCTCCAATGACAATCATATTTCGCATCTGACAATATAGTTTCAACACATCAAGGTTCCACATGCACAAGTTGTGACAGAAAAATGCCAGACACAGCATGTTTCCTGTCACTGAGCAACAAAATAAAATACTTCACAGGTATATAGTTTACTATAGAAAGTAGTATGATTTATTGATAAGAAAATAAATATAAATATAAAATTAACTTTTATTAAAATTTGCAAATCTCTCTTCTAGCTTTGTTATATACCACACCAGTGCAAGTCTTTTTCATTTGCCATTACTATGCCAGGAAAGTTGTCTTTTGTCCACTCTTCAGAATACTGTACTAAAGGTGGTCTGTAATGTTCTTTAAATGGTGGTGCAACAGTCCGTATTAAATGACCATCTTGTAAACTCCAGAAACGAATCAAAGTATCCATACCACCTGATCAAATAAAGAAATGAATTCTGTATAGAAATCAATGCAAATGATGGCATGCAAATAAAAGGTCCTATTAAGATCTGTTCATTTCCTTACTGCATATTTTGTGGGTAACTTTTCGTTAGTATTCACTTATGGCATATGCTATTTAAAGTCATGTTGCAATTAAAGAAATGTCATTCATGCCAAAGATATAATATATGACCAAAAAGCAAGATGTTCAGTCATAGTTATTTATTTCACAACATTTATTCATCATGAAGCCATTCAATCATCAAATTGGGAAATTTAAACTATTTACAGTATATTGCTATAAACCCATTAGAAACAGGATGTGGCATTATTCACAGGGAATTATTGACCAAATAAAAAATACTTCATGAATAGTGATTTTCAATGTGTTTTTTTTAACTGAGATGGATTAGTTTATGCAAGAATGTTCTCACTATGCAGAATCTACCTACCTGAGTAAATGACTGATTCCGTTGAGTCAATATGAAAAGACAGTTGTAAGTGAGTATTTGTATGACCATGGAATTGTATTACAGGTTTCAAAGCTCTGATATCCCAGAGTAGTATCTACATTAACAAAGTCAAATAATGAGATGTAAATACACAGCTGTATAGGTCTATTCACCAAGGGCATTCAATAGATGCTTTATAAGCCACATTCATATGTTATACAACTATCCTAAAAATGCATCCCCAGAAACAAAGCACTTCTGTGATGAAGAAACAACATAAATGCATGAACAACAACCTCAGTTGTTTAGAATAATGTGATCGGTCAAAACATGTGTGAGAAATGGACGCAATGGACAAAACCCAAATTCCCTGATATCCGACTTTGTCCGAGTGGGGACTAAATATTAGAACCGTACATGTTTACCTGGAAGTGAATTATTTCTCTTCATTCACCCAGTGAAGGCAATAAAGTATTGTCAACTGATTGAGAGAAAGAAGTCGCAACCACTGGAGGAATTATTAGACCTGGTATCAGTACTTCACCATGAAGACCATATAAAAAAAGATCAAAAACTAAAAAAAAAACATTTACCTTGCTTGCCATATCACTGGCCACCAGGTAGTTCTCGTCTGTAAGAAACTTGACACAACACACTGACAACTCTTGTTGAAGTTTTATACAACTAGATCTATTACTTGGTTCTCTCAGGTCAAAGCCAAGAATGTGACCTTTCCTGGTACCATTAATTAGAAGAGGATTCTGAGAAAAGGAAAAATGAATTGGACACAATTATATTTTTTGCATCAACTATGTACAGAGAAACCTCAATTATCACTCAATTAAGTGATGGTGGGTGCACATGCAGCACAATGATTATGCACAATAATTTAAATGATTTCCTACAAAAGTTGCAAAACGATTTGGATGTTGTGATCTTCATTATTTGGTTAAAAAATATGTGTCTGATATTTTGTCAATAACTGGAATTGCATTGGTTGTTACAACAATACCATGCAAGTATGAAAACACATAAGAGAAAGCTTAAAAATGAATTCCTATTAGCTGAGGGTATTGGAGCCAACAAAGAAGCATAAAATAGAATCAAGAAACCTGTTGGTTGGCACTGCTGTACATTGAGATGCATGTGTACACTGTGAAGGCAGTCTGAGTTTCAAAGTCAATCATAACAAAAAAACTTTGGTTGTATTGCCAGCGGAAAAGCCCAAAACTTGCTAACTAGTATGCACAACGGGTAACTGGGTATTATTTTATTAAAAGTACAGATAATATTAACTCACCCTCAAGCCAAATGTTTGTGTAAACACATCACTTTTATGTGTATTGAAATGTAATGCTCTTTGTGTTTGTACATCCACCATTAAAGCTTTCCTGGAAGCACCTTAGAAAAAAAAATTATATAAAATATAAACTTTTTGTATTGAGACAAAGCTTTGAAATGAGTGAAAATGATGTAATATTAAAAAATATTAATGTAAGAAAATACATGGTAGTTAAACTATCAAAAACAATTAAGGTATGAACTATGACCCAATCCCACAGTTGAGTCAAACCATACAAGACAGAATTAGCAATTGATACATCAAAAAACCTTTCATAAAATAAGCGCTCTCTGATTGGTCTGTCGCATCGACTCAAATACTGATGTGAGAAATGCCATCACCAAAGCTGGTTTGTCATTTTGAAAATACTCTGTGATTTGAGACACACAAACATACCGGTATTCATCAATACTGGAGTACATGTTTTTTAGGTTTTAAAAGTTTTAGAATGCTTGTTTCTTTTATGCATATTATAATTGCAGGCAATGTCATATGTAAGATTAGATGAATTAATTAAAAGTCAATTAAATACACCATCTAAGTAGACAAAATGTAGCTCAAAAATTATTAGGATACAAATAAACGTTTTAGGGTACACACATGCTGATAACTTAATTTTGTCTTTTCACATCTTGTAATCCAGGGCTAGATGTGCCACATATAATGTCATTTACCGGTATATTTCACTTATTATATCAATGATGTAATACCTATAGCAACCTTGTTAGGGAATTGGTGATTGTTACTCCAAGCACATGTCCATGCAGTACTATGCAAGGTGTAGGAAAATCTGATATCTGTAAAATTATAAAAAAAATATTTAGTTACTTTAATTTTACCATTAACTTTCATTTCCATAAACAGTGGACGCTACTATGCACTTCGGCATGTTAGCCATTTCATTGGCCTTCGCCCCTTAATAGATGTGAATTTGTATTACACTCAAAAGTATAAGCATTACTATTGATCAATAATTCAAACAATTAATTGTTAAATGTGAACGAGTAACATAGTATAGCAAAGCGGACACATCCAACCAATTCTTGGGTAATTTAGTTTATTACAATAGCAAACATTTAAGTTATAAAATTTCATAGGGAATCTATAGGTATGAAATAACATCAATGCAATTCACATTTATTTTAAGAGGTGAAACTTACTGTGTCTGGGATTAGTAGAAAATGAGCTGATTTCACTAATACCACTCTCTGATTTGAATGATGAGTAGCTATCAATATAGATGTCAAGAAAAATATATAAAGCCTGTAACTGTGTAATTTGTGACACTCAGAATAATTGATCAAATAAAAGAAATACATTGCTATGGGAATGTATAAACCAATGGTTACCATTAACATTAAGTTAAAATCCAGAAAATAGCAATTAACAAAATTCTGTGGTACTGTAAATTAAATCTAAGTGAATGTGTAAAATAACAGAGCTCATTGTTTCACTAGAAAACCAGTGAATTTTGATCTCAATGAATCTGGTCAAATATCAAATTAGTGAATCAAAAGACAGTAAACATTATTATTGCTTTTACAGTATTTCCATTTTAAAACTTCTTAGTATTTTTGATTGAATGATACAAAGCATTAATTCTAAGGATACAGAACAGCAGCAGTCTCAGCACTACTACCCGGTCCTGCCCAGCATACACAGGTCACCTAGAGAGAAAATTAATAGACATTACCATCTTGCGCTGTGTACTGCATTTGCATAATTGTGCAAAAATAGATGAAAACTGCAGATTTCATCAATCAAACTGGCTAGCTTGGGTAGAACAGCGACAATAATAAAGCAATATATTGCCCCTGTACCACATCTGATTAAACTTACCGGTAGTTATTGCATTTTCAAGCTATAAGCATTTACCGGTATATGACGAAAAAAATTATTGAAATAGAAAATGACTGTCAGTTGACAAATTATGAAAAATAATTGATATCTCTCCATGAGCTAACAGTTGTTTGCCAATATTCCATGAACAGAATTGGTCTGTGCAACTTGGAGATATTGCTTCACATGTATATTTTTTGGACAAATATGACCACCAGTTGGCCATTTTGAATCTGATTATGAAAAAACAAAACATATGTATAACATGAGTGAGGTATCAGCTATGTAACAAGTTTGAAAAAAATCTCTTAAAAAGTTTGTAAAATAATGTGATGAATGCAAGAAGACTGATGGAACCCAATCCAAAAACCCCCTAACTGTGTCATAATATGTCGTAGTTTAACCATCTAATACACTTAAATGCAATCTTTGGTTAATTTGTGTGCTTCTATTTGAACTGTATCTCCCATATGGCAACTATGTATTTTGAACTCTGGAACACATCTGTCATTTTCTATTCTTGGTAAAATGGTATACTAGACATAACTGAGATGTCGGGGGCTAATGTAATGTAATATGTTAATTACAACCCTATATCACTTGTTAAGAGTTGGTTGATACATGTATGAGTGATGTCATGTGGGCTCCAGTGCTCATTATTGAAAGTGAGTGGATAACAGTTTATTAACCTTTGTATCACATGATCAGAAATTATTCTTATCTTCAGGTTTATATCTGACAAACTGTTGGTATATACGCCATCTTACCTTGCTATCTTTTACTACATCGTTAGAGTCAAGAAATTGGATAGGTCCATTGGTCCTTGGGTTTTTAACTGGTATTAATTCACCCAAACACAAGCAGCAACTTTTTGGAAATTCAATCACCGTGCAAAGCACATCATTTTTTACATCTGCCTACAATAAAATTAAAAAAATACTGTTGATGTAAAAATAAATGAAATGAAACTTAATTATTCTGTCAAGTATAGTCAACAGTTTCACCAAAACATTATTAAAGTCCTCTAGTTCTAGACAAGTATTTAAAGTTGCACTCAGAGATCATTAATATATTAGTACTGTTAATTCATACATGTTGAAATACTATGCTACTATTATTGCACATTAGAATATACAAACAATCAAAGGGAAAGCAGAAATGATTGTCAACATTTGGATACACAGAAATTATTGAAAATAGGTTAAAGGTCACTAACACTTTATGAATGACCTCAGAGGGCAACTTTAATCATGGAATGGATATGGTAATGTTACGAAGGGTGATATAGTATCACTAGATCATATCCTTGACTTTTATAACTTGTAGACGTATACCATGCAGTACAAGGAAACACTTTTAAATTATATAGTTCCTATCAATAATTTAGTGTCCTTGACATTTGAGAAAGTGCTTTTAAATTAATGAAATAAAAACCCAATGTGTATTGTTATTATATTAAGTTTGATAATGGTACAAGACAAAGACTAAAAATATATCCGATAATACAACTTGAATATTTATGATCAATTAAACCTCTGCAATAAGTTGTTCCCTGTTGTGACAAAAGAAAGATGACGATATATTTTAGTATTTTGGTTTATTTTCATTTCTTTTAGAATCAACAACATACCATCAAATGAGAATACCTATAGTTCAAAAGGTGACTAGCAGTCAATTGCATGGGTGTATTAGTCTGGACACTGTTAACCATCCTCTCATGCTGCAATCTGGATGTGAAGAAATAAAATAACATTCAAGTTACTGCATTTAAAATAGATAGATAATGCATAGATGACCAGTATACTGTACACTGAAACTGAAACAGATTAGATACCGTATTCATGAGACTTCAATGAGATTTATTACACTTTAAAATAAAAGATTTTATACCCCTATTAAAATCATTGACCATGTGCAAGTGAGTAATCTAAACAAAACCAAACAAAATTGAAATCTTTTGAAATTAGTAAGTTGTGTGAAAGGCTTGAAAAATAATGACTGGTAATTTGAACAATCTACCTGGATACTTGTTGAGAAGAGTAATGACCAATCTGGAGGCTATGCTGAAACATTGGAACTGGAAGTTCACATTGGAAGTGCTCTGTAATCTGTGGATAGAATATTTGTTTGTATTTTTAGAATACAGTGAATTTCGCAAAGGCATGAATGTTCATATGGAAATTCATAAAATATTGATAAAATCTTTATCCTAGAAGACCATCCTGCTTCATTCAAAGCCAAAGAATATGCTTTCACTCGCTATGGAAACTAACATTCTTTAGGTTTTCTTCAATCATTGACCAATTTATGCAAAAAATATTATATACAAATGGTATGTATCTACCAAGGCACTATTGTGATTGGTCAAAGTTGTTTTCAATCGCCATTTGAAATATAAAATTCATGTCTTAATGAAATCCAGTGTAATATCACCATAATGCCTTGTCATTACAGAATAGGAATGACAGAAGAGAAAGAAGCTATTTTATAGTCATCCCTTGCAAAACCCTATCATTGCAAAAATGATGATTCTGATATTTATGTGAAAAGGATGACAGCAGCACAAAGTATTCAATATAAATACCGAGTGAATAATCAGCTACAGAAATCAGACATATGCAGGAAGTGCATTGACTAGTTGTAGCAATGTTACACAAAATACTGTAAAGCATGTCTTTTAAACTACCAGGTTATTTTAGCTTACTTAGGTAATCTGTTATGTACCAATTTAATAGTATGTATATTTTCACAATGAGATTAATAACACTTTGTCTAAATTATGATTATGTTAATTTATTCATTGAGTCAAATTTGCTAAAATTGTATGTAGCTATTTCAACATGTTTTACAGTATACATATTCACTGAAATATACAATATTTATATAACTAATATACTAAAGAGTTGTGTGCTATTTGTAGTTTGACCACCAACACATTATTACAATACTAGTGACTTTTTAACCATACCCATGACGAAATTAACAATTATGAAAATGTTTACCTCTGATTCACCAGTGTTCTTATATTTCGTTGTACTTGAACCTTGTTTTGACTGTGAAAGATCTTTCTTCATTTTGTCAATTTCTTTCTTCTTGATGGAGTCTACTGTAAGAGGATTGTAATTGTTGTGACCCGGTAGGAGTCGGAAGTATTTTCTTTTCTCTTTGTCATAATAGAAACCAGGAATCTGTAATCTGATGTTAAGGAGGAAGTTACTTAAATTCTCAGTCTCAGAAACATGTACGACTTTGGAATGTTTTCAAAGAAGGCAACTGTTGAACAAATTTACCATAAACCAAAAATATAATTTGTGCCATATTTAATGGCAGACCTAATTTAAACGTTTCAATAAAAAGTAGGATATCCAAATCATCTTCTTTTTCATCTTTTGCTTCTACTTTACCAGCTGATGGACCTGGTCTATGTGATTTATTTCTATTTCTTCGGTAACCATGTTGTGGATAACTGCTTCTAATTGATGATGTTAATGATGCTCCATCACAATTACTTTGATGTGAGTAATTTGAGTTTGTAGCTGGAATGGACATATATGGTGAATCATCATTCCATCTATGTCTGGATTCAAAGTTCATGTTACTATTGGTATGATTTCTACGTCCCTCATGCTGTTCCCTCCAATATCTTCTTTTTGTAAACCGTTTAGGCATCTAAATGATAAAACAGAAGTTTATAATACTATATGTGCTTATGAGCTGATAAAATTCTCACATTTATCAAATTGAGACAAAAATAGTACCTGGCCGGATTCAACCATGCATGTGAACTATCGTACTATACTATTATTTATATTATGTTACAATCTGATGAAGGTTGTATGAGAAGGTCTAAAACCTTCAGATACATGTATATTACAAATACATGTAGTAGCACATGGGAACTTGTCATTAAATATTGATATAAGTATTCTTAGTGATATTTAATTAACGATGTAGTAAAAGATAGCAAGGTAAGATGGCGTATATGCAAACAGTTTGTCAGATATAAACCTGAAGATAATAAAAAAATAGCATAGAATTTAAGAAAGTCTATAAAGGCAACTATAGAATAACAGTAGGTTTACCACAAATGACTGCAATTCCCAGGCAACATTGTTATTAAAAGCAGACCTCTTTGTGGTATCTAATGGTTACCACAACAAAACTTTGATAAAATAAAATACCAGGGTATAACATCTCGGTATTCAATAGCTTGCAAATACACCAATCAAAGTGCCTCCCTACCATTACAGGGAACCAATCAAATCCACTTGTAAGTTGTAGGAGCAAATACAGGTAGTGCAGCGCCCTCGTTCTAAAACAATCGCCGATTGTTCACTTGCTTTGATGACGAACACTCATCAAAGTATTTAGCAGTGAAGCAGAAAAAATATGTGGGGCTAGCTCATTAAATTCGCTGACAGTGACACAGGAATGGGTTTCCTCAAATTTTGTCACTCGTATATATCTCCAATAAATGATATTGATCTAAGTTTATGGGGTTTTACAGCACCATGAGCAGACGCAGGCAAACCACTTACCGTTTGTCGTTAAAACAACGGAGTGCCAACTAGAACTAGAATAATATATTAACAAACTACATGTGCATCACCAGCATCAAGTCAGCCATCTTTGAATGACGTCATTATGCGCGTAAGTCCTGCGCACGTGAATAAAATTGCACAAAATGGCAGCTCCCATGAAACAGAGAAAACTAAAACGAAGATCGAAGCCCTTCGTGAAGATTTCCTATGATTCAGGAAGCGAAGCTGACGTTGAAAGTGAGAATGAAGTAATAGGTAAGAACTGTTTGTTGACAGACTAAGCGCAGTTTTCGTATTTTTTTCAGATGATAACAATTCATTGATGACACGTGCGTTCAAGACCCTTGCAAGGTTATTTACAAATAAACACGCAGTATTCTCGCAGATTTGACATATGTGTCTTAGAGAGGGAGGACGTTCATCAGCTTACCCAATTCATGTGTGTGTTGGGGGGGGGCACGCACAAACGAATTACGGTGGATCATGGGGTTAAAACAGTAGGAGAGTTAACTGTTTCAAATCCTGTTGGAGTCTTGTACAATTCTTACATACATCTTGTTATTATTTTTCAAAACTCTTTTTGCTGTACTTATCCTAAGTAAATCTTTTTACACGGAGGCAATAAAGTTATTATTATTATATTATTTTTAAGTCTTATTATTTTATTGCAGTATAACACCAATACAACACAAAACACACAAGTAATAAAAAACTTGAAAAATTATTTATAAGACAATGGGAAAATAAAGTGTATCGGTGTAAGGCAGAAAAACGTACATTATGCATTCGCTGATTGAATGTTATTAATTTAATGACGTTGGTACACTAGATTAAGCTCAATATGCCATATTCTTATATACTGTAAACTGTATCATCTTTAATGTTCACAGATAGTTTTATGATTGCTCAACTACATATAAATATGTTTATAAAACATTTATAACATTGGCAACTTTCTGCTTCACTGCACTGAGTACAAAAAAGTTAGACAAGTAAATGCCAAAAATAAACAAAGAACTTGCTGAACATTTAAAAAAAACACATTTAAATTGTAAGAGTTTATTTTATACACTGAAAACGAAAATTGTGTGAATAACTTTGTAAATAAGTAACCACTGTCTAAAAAAACACTGAATGTCACTTCCCAGAACCCAAGTTGAGTGCAGAATCTTTGAACAAAGTACTGTGAAATGGCTAATTTTCACTGGGTTTTAAATTCACAGTTTTATCATTTAGATAATGTGTTCTATGCTTAATTTTACATATTCACTGGGTTTTAATTTACACATTTTCCCGTCAGCGATTAAGCAAAATTAAAACCCAGTGAATAATTAACCCCTTTACAGTAATAAAAATGTGCTGGTACTATTGCGAGATCAGGTATTAGTGGCCAAAGACTGTAATTTGAATTTCAAGCAAAAATTTGCATTTAACAGTTATTTTTGCAGTTTTATTTTTGCTGAAAAAAGGAGCTTTTTACCTAGCTTGAAAACTGATGTCAAAAATGCATTGTGAGAATGTTATTTTTCACTACAGGTTTATGTTTTAGTTTCTGTCTATCTGTATGTGCCTTTATTTGTCTATTCATAGACCCTCTACTGGAGGGTCTATGGTCTATTCAACATCATTTCTTGGTCTTCATCCTTTTTAATTAAAGTAGGTGAAAAGACAAGTTAATATGATATATACATACAGCACATTGATTTTTTTAGTTGATGTTTGATTGACTGGCGGCGATTATTGTTTTAAAAAAATGAACATTTGAATGTGTCATCAACCATTTCTTAGATACTGTAAAGGGGGTAATTATTCACTGTGTTTTAATTTAGCTTATTTCGCTGACTGGAAAAATGCGCTAAATTAAAACACAGTGAATATGTAAAATTTAGCATAGAACACATTATCTAAATGACGAAACCGTGAATTTAAAACCCACTGAATATGCCTGAAATGGTAAATCAGTGAAATTTAAACCCAGTGAAAATTAGTCATTTTACAGTATGCCTTGACTGATTTTGTACAAGTCATAATGATATACAGTACGTATGCACACATGTTTTGTTAGCTCTGCTGTCGACTTTGTCGAGCGGAGCTTATCATATGAGTGATTGTCCGTGTCAATGTTTAATTTTTTCGACTTCTTCTTGAAAACTACAAGCCTGAATGCTTTGATACTTGGTGTATATGTACCTTGGGTAGACCTCTCTCAGATTTGTTCATTTCATGATGATATCTTCAATTCTCTAATTTTGGTGAATATTTTTGTCAATTTTTGTAAAAAGTGATATTTTCAACTTCTTGTTGAAAACCGCAAGTCCAATTGCTTTAATATCACATATATAGGTACTACATGTGGACCTCTCTCAGATTTGTTCATTTCATAATGATATCTTCAATTCTCTAATTTTGGTGAATATTTTTGTAATTTTTGTAAAAAGTGATATTTTCAACTTCTTGTTAAAAACCACAAGTCCAATTGCTTTGATATTACATATATAGGTACTACATGTGGACCTCTCTCAGATTTGTTCATTTCATGATGATATCTTTAATTCTCTAATTTTGATGAATATTTTTGTAATTTTTGGTAAAAAGTGATATTTTCGATTTTCTTGTTGAAAACCGCAAGTCCAATTGCTTTGATATATTATACATATAGATACAACATATGGACCTCTCTCAGATTTGTTCATTTTCTAATGATATCTTCTGTTCTTTAATTGTCATGTGCATTGCTAACAGCGGAGCTATCTCAGCCGACAGGCTGCTTGTTTTTCGTTTCATTGACCTTTGTCCGACTGGTTACCATTTTTTCTCATGTTTCTTGGATACACTTTCATTGATTTTGTTTACAAAGGAATAATCTTCAGTTACGGTAACTGTCATTCATTTTTATTCAAAAAAACTCAAATCACAAGTCACATCTGCTTTTCCCTATGCCAACTTTCTCAATTTTGTGTCCTTAATTATTAATTCAGCCAAATGCAAAAGAAAATTATATTATATACAATGACTGGTTTTCAATGAATCACTTGAAATAGTCCCAGAGTTAGATGCAAGCTTGTGTCCTATTGCTTGCTATTCCTATTGAATATTGCAGTACACTTATACTTTGCAAGTTATCTTTCATATCTGCATAAACATTATGAAGGCATGTCAACTAGCTATGACTCAGATAGTGGCTTTAACTAAAGACCACCTTGGAGGTTTTACTGCTGAATTGCGCGTAAATTTAATTAATCTTTTTTTTTCTCAGACAATGTGGCCGATTCTAAACATATTGGTGATACTGCTGTTAATAAAAGCAATGATACAGTCAATACTACTCCATCTGAAGATGTGACCGAAAGACTAGAAGGCAATAGTGTAATTGACAAACAAGAACAAGATGATCAAACGATGTCAGGCTGGGCTGATGCTATGTCAAAAATTTTAGGAAGAAGATCAAAAAAGAAACTCACAATACTTTCAAAATCAAGAGAAATAAAAAAAGAGAAAGAGAAGGAGAATGAAGAGAAGTTAGAAACTAAACAGAAGGTAATTTTTTTTGTCCTGGGTGCTAGACAAATATCACTGAGTTGATATACCAGTATTACTGTAAAAGTGTTTTAAATTCACTACGTTCAATTACCCACCATAGACTCCGGTCAGTCAAAATGACTATTTTGAACTGTAGGCATTAATCAGCGATTCTGCCGGTGACGGAGAGATAGAATCCAGGTCAGGGGAAGCCCCATGACCTCAAGATTCTTTTACCCCTTACGTCACGAACCCACGTGACCGAGGCCACCTGGCAGCACCACAGGTAGCCGTCCTTCACTCTTAATTTCTCTCCGCCTCGAGTGGAGATGAAATCTAGCGAGCTCTGCTGGATCGCCTGCTTTTTTTCCTGTCCGGATTTATAGCTTGGGTTGTTGCCGCTGCTCGGCATCCGACATGGTAGCTGGTAGGATAAGTTTTCCTTGTCTTTTTTTACCCTCGTGTCGTTTTCCCCTTTGCGTGTAGTATTTTTCACAGCAAAGAAATCAAAATCCGGCGCCACTACGTAGTCACCTTTTACAACTGTAATTCGTCTCCCTCATGCATGTCGTCTTTTATTTTTAATGTATTTAGCAATATATCGATGTAATGACAGCTTCAAGGCTCGCTGCCTTTTTCTTCCAGTCTCCTCGTCTTTCGAGCCGACCGTACAGTGGTCTATTCAGAATCTATCAGCATAGGACCCGCATCCGAGATGCTTTGTCGTGGCTACGTGTGGGTTCCGGGTTTTTTTTTGCGTGAAAGCGTGTTTTTTTCACTGGAGTTCTGAGGCCTGAGATTTTCTTTCACAGCCATCAAAATCGCTGACACTGACCGCGTCACAGCAAGGTCGCGCGTCCAGTAAACAAATCGGTTAAAGTGAGTTGCGTGTTTTGCATGAGTGGAAAGTCCTCATGCTCGGCTACCGGTACTTCATGTACCGGGACGTCGAGTAAGAGGCCCGACGGCGGAGGTACCGATATTTTCTCGGTCTCCCCCGCTGATCGGATGGCATCCTCACAGTCTGTTTTTTCAGGCGGTGTTTTTTACCCGATTTTACCGGCTGCAGCGAGGCTGTGCCCCTGGAGGCTTTCTTCTTATTGGGCTCGTTGCGGGTCTCTT